TTCTCTCTGAAGCCTTAGCTGTCCTGGAACTTGCTCTGTAGACCAGGCAGGCCTCGAGCTTACATAGATCCTCCTGTCTCTGCCTTGCCAGTGCTCGGATCAAAGGTGTGCGCCTTAACGACTTCACTATTTTTTATTTTTATTTTATTTTTTATCTTTTCGAGACAGGGTTTCTCTGTGTAACAGCTCTGGTTGTCCTGGAACTCACTTTGCAGACCAAGCGGGCTTCGAACTCACCGAGATCCGCCTGCCCCTGCCTCCCAAGTGCTGGGATTAAAGGCCTGAGCCACCACTCCCCGCTACTTGACTAATTTTTAAGCGACTTAATGAAGCTTTACGAATTAATGGGGCTAGTTTTCCTAGCTTGGTAGTTTTAGAACAAAGAGCTTTTGGGGCTGGAGGTTGCTCAATTGGTTGCATGCCTTCGTAGTGGCTCTGAGTTTGATAAACCAGGCATGTTGGTGTTATGCATGAAATGTCAGCACTTGGGAGGCAGTAGAAAAATCATTAGTTCAAAGTCACCCTCAGCTATTTAGGGAGTTTGAGACTAGGATGGGACAGATGAGATTCTGTCTCAAAATAACAATAACAAAATGTAAATGTTCCTTTAATGTAAACAGCCCCTTTAATACAAACATGCACCCACGTGGCTGAAGGGCTCCTGCAAAGCTTCTCTGGCCACTCCACTGCCGATAAATAAACGTGTAAAAAGTAACAAATATTTGTCCTCTATCCTCGGAGTTCTCTAACCATGGGTCTCTGAGTTTGAGCCAAAATCAATAGGTCAAACATCAAAAAGAAAATAAAACAAATCAGAGTAAAGTCTGATGGGGAACAACAGTTGATGTGTGCAGTGCGTATCGAATACATTTCATTTTTTTTTTAAAGATTTATTTATTATGTATACAATGTTCTGTCGGCATGTTTTGCCTGCAGGCTAGAAGAGGACATCAGATCTCATTACAGATGGTTGAGAGCCACCATGTGGTTGCTGGGAATTGAACTCAGGAGCTTTGGAAGAGCAGCCAGTGCTCTTAACCGCTGAGCCATCTCTCCAGCCCCCCTCATTTTTATTTTTTTTTAAGGGTGGGAGTTAAGACCTTCGGGAAGCTCCTACAGATCACTGCCCTGGCTGCGAGAGGACGGCACCTGGGAAGCCGCCTTGGAGGAAGCCAGCCGCAGACCCCAGACTGGGCGTCGGGGTCGCGATCGCACGAGGACACCGCGCCTTAGCAGAGGCAGCCATCCTCCGGCCGCCAGGGCGGCGCCGCACCCAGCGCGCAACTCCCGCCTCGGGGCGGGGCCGCGGGGGAGAGCGCGCCTCCTGACGTCATCGCCGCGCGCCGCCGCCTGCGCTTCTGCCACTTCGCGGGAGAAGTTGTTGGCGCCAATGGATCCCGAGCCCCGATAACGGATTCCCCCGTTAGCCGAGGGCCTGCCCACCTGCTCCTCTTCGATCTTGGGGCTGCGATGGTGAGCCGCCCGGGTGGCCGTGCAACTCCAGAGGTTTTGCAGGCCGGGTGTGGACGCGGCGGCGCCGCCGCGGTGCGGGGTGGGGAGGGCGGCGCAGGGTGCTCCGAGGGGCCCCCCGCTTAGGGTGCGGGGGGCGCACCGCGGGCGCAACGTGCAGGGATGTGGCTGCTACGCGGCACTTTCACACTCCACCCCCGGCTCTTGGGGGGGAAGGGAGGGAGGGAGAGGAACGTGGATTTGGACACGGCGTTAAAAGTTACTTCGGTGTTGGGCATGGTCCCAGATATCTCAGTTGGAATGCTTCCTGAAGCCGTGCCTCCAAGCTTTGCGAGGAAGAAAGGAACACTTGGCTTTCTTTGGGAGAAGTTGCTCGGGCCTTCGCCGGCTTCTTCCTGAAGCGCGTCTCCGCGGTTTGGAGAGCTGATGCCATAAGGAAGTTGCTTTACTTTGTTGAGAGTAGTTTATAGGAGTTGAACAGATGACCTGGCTTACCGGGCATAAAAACCACAGCGGGTACAGAGGGATGTTATGTATATGACAGCTGTCATTTCTTATCACCTGTTTTAAAATAGTGTTTAAAAAAATATCCTCAGTCCCAACTTCAATTCATAATTCTGTATAATGGCCGTTCAAACAGCTCGAAAGTAATACAGCAACAGGTAATAGGAGACAATTGCATGTTTGAAATAATTTTTAATTTAAAGGACAATTGAAGATGTTCAGTTAATCTGGAAGATATTTAACAATCATGTGTACGTATATTTTCTATTATTCTTCAACTTGTTATTATTCAGCATTCTTCAGAATGCCAGCATTCAAGGGAGAAAATTTTATGCCAAATTGGAAAAATTTCAGTTCTCTGTTGTTTATTCTTGGGAAAGAAAAGGATAGTAATAGTAGCCACGCAGGGTCAGCCTTTTTTCAGGTTAATATGTGAGTTGTTGCTTTAAATACCCTCCAAGCCGGGCGGTGGTGGTGGTGGTGCATGCCTTGACTATCAGCACTCGGGAGGCAGAGCCAGGCGAGTCTCTGTGCATTAGGCCAGCCTGGTCTACCAAGTGAGTTCCAGGACAGGCACCAAAACAACACAGACAAACCCTGTCTCAAAAAAACCAAAATAAACAAACAAATAAATAAATACCTTCTAAAAATTCATTTAAAGTGCTTTTTTGAAAAAAAGATTTATTTTAGTTATGTGTATATGTGTGTCTGTGTTTGTGTATGCACATATGTGTGCCCATGGCATCCAGAAGAGGGTGTCGGATCCTCTGGAGCTGGAGTTACAGGTGGTTTTGAGCTGCCCACTGTGGGTGTTAGTTATGGAATTCAGGTCCTCTGCAAGAACAGTACACACTCTTAACCACTGAGCCATCTCTCTAAGCCCCAAGTTCATTAAATTTCCATTTATTTGGTAATGCATATGTTTTGCCTAAATATATTTCTGTTTACATTCGTGCCTGGTGCTGTCAGAGGTCAGAAGAGGGTGTTGAATTCTCTGGAACTGGAGTTAAAGATGATTGTAGGTGTTAGGAATTGAACTCAGGTCCCGTGAAAGAGCAGCAAACACTCTAATCACTGAGCCATCTTTCCAGTCACGCCTCTTTAGTTCATTTCAAAATTAAAAAGAAAATTACTTATTTTATGTGTATGAGTGCTTTGTCTGTGTGCATGTATGTGCATCACATGCAGTCCTGGTCCCAAGATCAGAAGAGGGCATTGGATCCCTTGGAACTGGAGTCATAGATAGCTGTGAACCCTCATGTGGTTGCTGGAAACTGAACCCAGGTCCTCTGCAAGAGTAATAAGTGTTCCCAATTACTGAACCACGTTCAAGCCTCTCAAGTTTGTTGTTTTTGTTTTTTAAGTCCTGGCTGTCCTAGAGCTTGTAGACCATGCTGGCCTTGAACTCACAGATGCTCCTGACTCTGCCTCCTGAGTGCTGGGATTAATGTCATATTCCGTCATGTTCTGCTCCAAGTTCATTGTTTTGAAGGAAAATTTTGGGTAATGGTATCATATATCAGGCTTTGATCTTACAATGTATGTAGAATAGACTGGTTCTACCTCGACTTCAGGTGCTCAACAGTCCAGTTTTTATAGACAGCAAAGACACTTTTGAAACAGATTGTCACACTAGTAGGTGGTTGACCTTGAACTGGAACATAGGCATTTCTGACTACATTATTCTGCCTCCCTAAAATAATCAGCATTGCATTTTGGAATTTACTTATCGTGGTATTGTGGAAAGTTGATGAAATTTTGAGTTTCCGTCTTAGTTGAATAGTTAACAGTTACGTTGGTATGCTAATATGCTTAATAGTTACCTGGTCCTATACAATAGATCACCTTGTGTGAATCTTGCCTCAGCCTTCGAAGTGGTGGAATTACTGGTGTGAACCACTGGACCCAGCAAGTGGCTTAATTTCTTGGTTTCTATTTTCTTTTCTTCTTTCCTCTTTCTTTTCTTTTGCCAAGGTTTCTCTGTGTAGCATAGGCTGTCCTGAAACTCACTCTGTAGACCAGGCTAGAGATCTTCCTACCTCTGCCTCCTGAATTCTGGGATTAAAGGTGTGCGCCACCACTGGCTGGTTTCTATTTTCTTACTTACAAAAAGGATAGGGAGAATATTAACTATCTTGAGTGATTTAACATTAAAAGTTGTATTTATTTACTTTTTCTGTGTATGTGTATGGGTGTGAGTGCCATGGCATATTTATAGTACCCACATGGCAGCTTGTGAGTTGCTATGCAACCGTGCCCTCTTAAGTTAATTAAACATATGTACTCACTATTATTTTATGTGTATAAGTGTTTGCCTAAATGTTTGCATGCACACCATGTATGTGCCTGGTGTCTGAGGAGGCCAGAAGAGGGGGTTGGATCTCCTGAAACTGGAGTTACAGGTTGCTATGAGCTGCCATGTGGGTGCTGGGAACTGAACCTGGGTCCTCTACAAGAGCGGCAAATACTATTAACTGCTGAACCATCTCTCCAGCTCCCTTTAAGTGACTGTTTGCAAAATTAAAACAAGTTAAGGGCAGAGAGGTGGTTCAATTGGTACAGTGCCTGCCCTGCAGGCCTTAGGACTTGAGTTTGGGTCCCCAGCACCCAAGTAAAATGTGGGTGCAGTTTTCTGCATGTGTAACCCCAGTGCGGGGGAGTGAGTTGAGTGGATGGCTGGAGCTCATGGCCAGCCAGCCCCCGTAAACCATCTGCTTCAGGGTCAACGAGAGACCCTGCCTCAAATATAAGGATTGCTAATCTCAGTGCTCTGGAGGCAGAGGCAGGCGGATCTCTGAGTTAGAGGCCAGCCTGTGAGTTCCAGGACAGCTAGGGCTACACAGTGAAATCCTGTCCTGAAAAAAAAAAAAAAAAAAGAGCATGTGAGGAAGATACCCTAGTGAAACCTCTGGATTTCACCTGCAGTGTGCACATGTACCCACATGCACCCGCATTGACCCTCATGCACATACACAGATATGTAAAACATACCATGTACACATACAAAACCTCAACATAATTTCTGGCAAACAGTGTATGGACAGCTTTGATTCTGAAACTTGGAATGCATTATATAATTGTTCCAACTGCCAGTAGTCTGTTTTTTTCAGAAAGGACACTAGAAAATTACATAGGGTTTTTGTTTTGTTTTTGAGACAGGGTCTTACTGTGTATCCCTGACTGGTCTGGAACTGCTGTGCAGACCATGCTGGCCTTGAACTGACAGAGATCCTCTGGCCTCTGCCCCTGGTGCCTATGATGGAATTAAAGGTGTGCACCACTATGTCCAGTCTGGTTTTTTTTTTTTTTTTTTTTTTTTGAGAGAAGGACTCAGTATGTAGTTCTGGCTGTCCTGGAACTCATTCTGTTACCAGGCTGGCCTCAAACTCAGAAACCCGACTGCCTCTGCAGACCTCCTGAGTGCTAGGATTCAAGGCGTGCGCCACTACGCTCCACTTTACACCAGTTTTTCAGGGTTTTTAACATAGTTTTACATACTCTGCTGGGCATGTTTGTAATCAGTACTTAATAAGCAGAGTCAGGAAGATCGGGAGTTGAAGTCCCGCCCCCATTGCATGGTTCCAGGCCAGCCTGTAGTACATAAGCTCCTATCTCAGAAAATTAGGGGAAAAGGGTTGGGAGCTTCATAGATACTTCTGATGTTTGGTGGACTTCTTGAGCGTTCAGGTTCTTTCAGGCCTTGTTTTTATTCTCTCTGATGTGTGAATAGAGGCCAGAGGAGGATGTTTGGCGTGCCGGCCCAGCACTCTCTCCCTCTGTCTCTCTTTCTCTGTCTGCTTTGTCTTGAGGTTGAGTCTCTCATTGGTCCTCCAGCTTGCTGTTTTTCTTGTAGGCTCTGTGATCCTCATGTCTCTGCTTGCCCTGTGCTGGAGTTATAGGTACTTGTGGCTGTGCCTAGTTTTATAGGGCACTGTGGGTCCGCTCGGAGTCATCTCCTCGCCTAGACTCACCCTATTTTTTGTGAGGGTCTCTCACAGAGCCTGGAGCTCACCAGTTGCCTAAATTGGCTGGCTGGTCAGCAAGCTCCAGGAATCTTGTCTGTCTCTGCTTCACCAGTGCTAGGATTACAGTGTGTGCCACCACACACCTGTCTTTTTATGTGGACGCTGGGGATCCAGTGCTAGGATTACAGTGTGTGCCCACCACA